AGTAACAACCACCAGCAGGCATCACCCCCCAAATCAAATAAAAGCCCCCCAAAACTAGTAATTTATTTTGAAAAGTAAATTTCAGAATGTTTTGCTTTTGCTTTTTGAAATTTTGCAGCTGTAGTTATCTTTTAAGTGTAAGTTTTCTTTATTTTTTTTTTTTTGGCTTTTTGTTGTCACACCCGGTAATGCTGAGGGTATTCTCAAGAATTACTTCAGGCAGTGCTTGAGGGGATCATATGGGTTGCCAGGGATCGAACACAGTTGGCCATGTGCGAGACAAACACCCTACCCATTGTACTATTGCTCTGGCCCCCTTTATATAAATTTTCTCTTTTTCAAAGTTTCTTTGCAGACAGCTCACACATACTTATATATTTAGTGCTCGAGATGGAACTCAGGGCCATATTCTACTTTTATAATGACTACGAATTTAAAATAGGGTGGGACTTTTGGGAATATATCCTGGAGAAGCAAAGTATAGTAGAAATGACATCTGCACTTGTTCATTGCTGCATTGTTCACAATAGCCAAAATCTGGAAAAAATCCGAGTGCCCAAGAACAGATGACTAGTTAAAGAAACTCTGGTACATTTATACAATGGAATACTATGCATCTGTTAGAAAAGATGAAGTCATGAAATTTGCATATAAGGGGTTCAACGTGGAAAGTATCATGTTAAGTGAAATGTCAGAAAGAGAGGGACGTAGAAGATTGCACTCATCTATGGAATATAAATTATCAGAATGGGGAACTTAACACCCAAGAATAGTAGAGATAAGGACCAAGAGGTTAACTCCAAGGCTTGGAAGCCGGCCTCTAATGCTGGGGGGAAAGGCAGCTCAGATAGAGCAGGGAACACCACGTAAAGGGTGTTTGGAGGACCTGTACTAATGTAGACTATAGATCAAACACAATGGCCACTCTATTGCACTCTGGTGCCTCTGTTGCAAACTACTACACCCCAAAAGAAAGAGAACAAAAGGGAATGCCCTGCCACAGAGGCGGGTTGGCGGGGGGGGGATAGGGGAGGTGGTGGGAGGGATATTGGGATCATTGGTGGTGGAAAATGGGCACTGGTGGAAGGATGGGTACGCGATCATTGTATGACTGAAACCCAAACACGAAAGTTTGTATGTAAGTCTGTAACTATCTCACGGTGATTTACTAATTTTAAAAACAACAACAAAAAATAGGCTGGCATCAGAATTCTGTTTTTCAGCACTGTCTTGATTTTCTTGATGTTGAGACTTTTTATAAATACTTGAATGCTAAATATATTTTTCTGACACACTTTGTTGTGTCTTGGACTGATAGGTTTACTGTGATTGTGTTCCTTTTCTCATTTCTCCAGTGACAAGTAGGATAACAAAAGGGTTGTTGAATTTATTGGCTCCATGGGTTTACTAGTCATATGAACTAGCTTTTTCATTTTTTTTTCTTTTTTTGTAGGAGTACTGCTATTTATTCAGCCACTGATTAGCTGATTGAATTGTGCATGAACTCCACCTTTTTTTTTCTTTTTCCATTTTTTTATAATTTTATTTATTGAATCACCGTGAGAGCAGTTACAAAGCTTTTGGGTCTAAGTCTCAGTCATACAATGAAACACCCGTACCTTCACCAGTGCCCATTCTCCACCACCAAAAATTCCAGTATACCCCCATCCCACACCCTCCCCCTGCCTGTGGGGCAGATGATCTCCACATTACTCTCTCTCTCTCTCTCTACTTTGATCACATTCAATATTTCGACACCAGGCCCACCATTATTATTTGAGATTTGCCCCAACACTCAGATCTGCTGAGAAGGCAACAGTAGACAATTTGTGTTCTATTGCTGGTTATGACTAACATATGATGTCGTGTGGCTGCAGTAGTGTCATGTTCTGAAATTCTGAAATTTTAACACTTAAATCTGGAGGGATTTCTGCCAAAAGCCACTGGGTTTAGAGATCTGCGCCTGAATCTCTGGGATCATGACCATTGAGCAGCTTGATGAGGAGCCAAAGAGGCCATGCGCGGGCGATGACTTGGGGTCTCATTGGGGTGGGGAAGACAGGCCCGGCTCCACCTCCCCCCCCATCCCGTGAGACCCAATAAGTTTCGTCACTGCGGGCCCAAGCCTGACTGTCCAATGGCCTCTGGAGGATGACAGCCACCAAATCGCCAAGAGGGAGCAGGCGGAGGGACAGCACCCATTCCCCCCTGGGGTGGCCCGGCTACAGTAACCTACTGCGAGGTCCGGACACATTTCTGCCAAAAGCCACTGGGTTTCGAGATTTGTTTCTGAGTCTCTGGGATCAAGGCCGTTGAGCAGCTTGATGAGGAGCCAGAGAGGCCGTTTGTGGGCGATGACTTGGGGTCTCGTTGGGGTGGGGAGGACAGGCCCGGCTCTACCTACCCCCCATCCCGTGAGACCCAACAAGTTTTGTCACTGCGGGCCCAAGCCTGACTGTCCAATGGCCTCTGGAGGATGACAGTCACCAAATCGCCAAGAGGGAGCAGGCGGAGGGACAGCACCCATTCCCCCCTGGGGTGGCCTGGCTACAGTAACCTACTGTGGGGTCCGGACACATTTCTGACAAAAGCCGCTGGATTTCCAGATTTGTTTCTGAGTCTCTGGGATCATGGCCGTTACGCAGCTTGATCAGGAGCCAGAGAGGCCATTTGTGGGCGATGATTTGGGGTCTCGTTAGGGTGGGGAGGATAGGCCCGGCTCCACCTCCCCCCTCCCATCCCGTGAGACCCAACAAGTTTCGTCACTGCAGGCCCAAGCCTGACTGTCCAATGGCCTCTGGAGGATGACAGCCACCAAGTCGCCAAGAGGGAGCAGGCGGAGGGACAACACCCTTTCCTCCCTGGGGTGGCCCGGCGACAGTAACGTACTGTGGAATCCGGATGCATTTCTGCCAAACGCCACTGGGTTTTGAGATTTGTTTCTGAGTCTCTGGGATCATGGCCGTTAAGCAGCTTGATCAGGAGCCAGAGAGGCCATTCGTGGGCGAAGACTTGGGGTCTCGTTGGGGTGGGGAAGACAAGCCCGGCTCCACCCTCATCCCGTGAGGCCCTGTGTGTCTCGTCACTGGGGGCCCAAATGTGACTATCCAGTGGCCTCAGACGGATGGCGGCCACTGGGCCGTCAGGGGGAATAGGCCAAGGCACGAAACCTATTCCCACCTGGGTTGGCCCAGCACCGGTAGCCTGCTGCAGGGACTGGACGCATTTCTACCTAAAGCCACTGGGTTCTGAGATTTGTTTCTGAGTCTCTGGGATCATGTCCATTAAGCAGTTCAATCAGGAACCAAAGAGGCCTTGCCTCCAATTATATAGCTGAGCCAGAGGTGGTTTGTGGGTGTGTTTCCCACATACCTAACTTTTGGCCGTTTACTTTCTTGGTAAACTTTGCCCCAAGTTTTTGGGGTCTGGCCAAAGGCACAGCAGCAATTTTGGGGTATCTGGAAGTCTGAAGGCGCCATGAGGCTGCTGATGCACTCGCCTCACAGGTACAGATTGACCTGCTGGCGGCACCATACCCCCGCTTTTTCATTTTATAGATTAAAAAAATGATTAATACTTAACATGCTGGTATCACTTTTTGGGCGGGGGCTTTGTGGGTCACACCCAGCAATGCTCAGGGATTCTTCCTGACTTTTCTTTCTTTTTTTTTCTTAATGTAGGAGTGCTATTTATTCAGTCACTGATTAGCTGATTGAATTGGGCATGAACGCCACCTTCCCCCCCGCCACAGTTTTATTTATTTATTCTTCGTCTTATATTTATTTATTGAATCACTGCCTCCTGGCTTTTCACTCAGGAATCACTCCTCGCGGTGCTTGGGGGACCATATGGGATGCTGGGGATCGAACCCGTGTCGGCCACGTCCAAGGCAAACACTCTACCCACTGTGCTATCGCTCTGGTCCCGGCACGTTTTAAAATTTTAATTTTAAAATTTTTATTGGTGAACCACCATGAGGTACAGTTACATACAGACTTACAAACTTTCATGCTTGTGTTTCAGTCATACAGTGATCTAGTACCCATCCTTCCACCAGTGCCCATTTTCTACCACCAATGGTCCCAGCATCCCTCCCACTTCCGCCACCCCACCTCTGTGGCAGGGCATTCCTTTTTGCTCTCTCTCTCTCCTTTTAGGTGTTGTGGTTTGCAATAGAGGTATTAATTGGCCATTATGTTCGGTCTATAGTCTACTTTCGGCCCGCATCTCCCATCCTGAGCGGGCCCTCCTAGCACCCTTTACTTGGTGGTTCCTTCTCTATCTGAGCTGCCTCTTCCCCCAGCATGTGAGGCCGGCTTCTAAGCTGTGGAGTAATCCTCCTGGAACTTATTTCTACTATTCTTGGCTGTTAGTCTCCCATTCTGTTACTTTATATTGCACAAATGAGTGCAGTTGTGCTTTCCCTTTTCAAAGCACATTACAAGGGCAAGAATATCATAACAATGTATGCATGCTGTGCATGCAGGAGGTCTTCAGTTAGAGCCCAAAGTACTGCCAGAAACAACCCCAGAATATCCCAGCTCTTGAAGTGGGATTTAAGTAACCCCTAAGCACCAGTGTGTGGCCCCAAACCAAAACCTTTTCTATAAATATCAAATATCAAATAAGGAGTTAACACATTTTCTTTGCCACATAAAAAATTTCAAAACAGTTTCTTGAGGGGCTGGAGCGATTTTACAGAGTGATAGTACAGCTAGTACAGGGTGTTTGCCTTGCATGCTGCTGACTGAGTTTTGGCCCATATGGTCCCCCAAGCACCACCAGGAGTAATTCCTGAGCATAGCCCAGATGTGACCAAAAAGGAAAAACCAATAACAAAAACTAAACAAAATGAAAAAACATTTCATTTGATTGGGTTCCAAATAAAAACAAATCTGTTGCATTGACTTGTCTTAAAATACATAATCTGTTAATTTTGTGGTTATGTGGTTACTTTTTCCTCCTCTATTGCAGTTATTTTATTAAAGAATCAGATTGTCCTGCAGCCACTTAAGCTGATCATGCTCTTCTGCTCCTGGAGCCCCTGGTGTGCAGTGACTATAAACAGTAGCCTCTTTGGTTATATATGCAGCCTGTTGTTTCTCTGGTTGCCCTAAGGGACTTGGGCACGGTCCTTCTTAGTGGACATTCATATCTGCCTTTGTGCTGTCCTCCAATCTTAAGCTACAACAACCTGTACCTTTCTAAAGGTAACAACCTTTGTTGTACCCTTGAAAAGTCCTAGGGCTTAGTGGTTAGGGTCCATATTGGCCAAGTCACCATCTTCAGGCAGAACAAGGAGTCATGAGACCCTGCTTGGGGACAGTAACAATTTTCCTGATCACCAAAAGATCCTCATCTCCAACTACTGCTTTTTACCAATTTTAATGCAAATGAAATAGAAGAAAAGGTGGCATAAAAGTGGTAGTTCATTCCTGGTATGGGCTCAAATACATTCTGATTAAGGTCCTTTGACAAGTGATCTGACCCTGTCTTCCTGAGAACCTTAGGGTTGTTTCCTCTTCAGTCACATCTACCAAGAAATTCTACTTAATATCCAACAACAACAGAAAAGAATCAATGTCCTGTGGTTAACTCAGTCTGAATTCTGCTGACTTCTTCAAGCTGGTGTTTGCATGATCCTCTAACTCATCTTTTTTGTTTCTCTTAAAAAAGAAAAAAAAGTTCCTGGCATTCTCCAAATAGAACCAACAAATGTCTTAATACTCTCAGCAATTGATATTTTAAAAAATTATTTCAAATACTGATATATGCATTCCTTTTGTGTGGTGATGTATTGATTGAACCCAGAGCCTCACACATACTAGGTATGTGTACTACCACTGAGCCACATCCTTGGCTCTAAGTGTTGGTCCTGCCTTCTCTGGTCAATGAAAAGCTGTTTATGTTAACTTCTGAATTTATTTGTACCGTATTGTTTATAATCTTTAGTATAATTTCAGAAACTGCAGACTAAAACATTCAAACTCACCTTGTATTGGTCTTATTTTTGACTTGAAATTAGTAATTTCTTTAAAGGCTTTTGGTTTTCAGTGTTCTGTTTAGTAAATGGTATTTGGAGACCATCATCTTTCATATAGCTTAGTCAGTTGGCCATTATTAGGTCTTTATAATGAACAGGGCTAAATGAAAAATACACTGACTTCATACTAATATATTTACTTGGAGGTAATTTAAGACTACAAGATTTTCACTTGAGTCAGGAGAAAAACAGCTCAAACACGCTGAGTGCATGCTTTGCATGTAAGAAGTCTGGGGTTACTGTCTGGTACCAAATGGTCCCAGAGTATCCCGAGTTTCAGGCCAGGTAGTTAGCCCCCAGAGTACTGCTGGTATATGGCCTAAAAATAAAACAAAAAGAAATTATCGTGCAGAAATTCAAGTGTTCAGTGACTAAAAATAAGCCGTCTACTTTATTACTCACTATGAAGTTAGAAATCTCAGATGAGTCAACACTAGTATAAGAGTGTGACCCAAACTATAACAATTAATCTTTTTTGAAAGTTTGCTGAGGTGATGTGAGAGAGGGAGAAACTTTGAGTCATTAATGTTTGGACACTTGACACTGGTGCTAGGTTTGGAGTGGAATATTGAATGCCTTTCTTTCTTTGATTTTGGTTTTTTTTGGGGGGGGGGGGCGGGGGGCATATCCATTCAGCAGTGCTTAGGAATTAGGCTCTGTGCTCATGGACCACTTCTGATGGAGAAGTTATATCTGGTGCCGGGTCAGTGTGTGCAAAGCCTTACCTGCTATACTGTCTCTTTAGCTCAGAATATTGAGTGTCAAAAACTGTTAGCAACAGCTTTGTGAATCATACTGCCTATCTTTTTATTTATTTATTTATTGCTTTTCGGGTCACACCGGTGATGCACAGGGGTAACTCCTGGCTCATGCACTCAGGAGTTACTCCTGGCAGTGCTCAGGGGACCATATTGGATACTGGGAATTGAACCTGGGTCGGCCACGTGCAAGGCAAACGCTCTACCTGCTGTGCTATCTCTCCAACCTCTGCCTATATTTTTAAAAACAATTCTCTGACTAGCAATCCTGATACTACCAGCACTTCTGATACAATAGTATAATACAAAAAATAGCCTTTTTTGGAAGTTATTGTTGGGTGTGTAGGAAGGAGGGAGTCTTGAGGGTGTATTTCACTAGGTATACAGATGTCCTACATTATCTGGTTATATGGATTTTTTGGGAGGAATCACACCCGGCGATGCTCAGGGGTTACTCCTGGCTCTACACTCAGGAATTGCTCCTGACGGTGCTTGGGAGACCATATGGGATGCTGGGAATCAAACCAGGGTCGGCTGCATGCAAGGCAAATGCTCTAGCTGCTGTGCTATTGCACCAGCCCCTAATTATATGGATTCTTAAGTGAGTGCAATACAAAATTGTTCTTTATTTTAGGGGGAGGGGGTTAACTCAGCAGTTCTTAGAACTTAACTCTTGGGTCTGCACTCAGGGTTTGCTCCTGGTGAGACTCAGGGGATCATTTGGAATGCTAGGGATTGAATCAAGGTTAGCCTCGTTCAAGGCAAGTGCCCAACCCACTGTAGTGTCATTCTGGTTCAAGATTGCTTTCTTTCTCCTTTACTTTTTTTTCCCCCCCCCGCTCTTTGGGTCACAGCCTGTGATGCTCCTGACTACACTCAGGACTCATGTTGGGGGGACCATGTGGGATCCCAGGCATTGAACCTAGGTTGGCTGTGTGCAAGGCAAATGCCTTACCCACAATACTAATGTTCTGGCCCCAAAATTAGTTTTTTAAGTTCCACATTTTCTGGATGGAAAAAATGAAAACTGTTTTATGCTAATTTCAGCATCTGACATATAATTTTTATGATAAAGTGGGAAAAGAATTGTAGTGTTGAATTGAACTTTGAATCTGGATTCCTCAATTCAGAGTGTTGATGGCCCATGTAGCCCATCTCCTCATACATGGGAAGAGGTTTTACAGGGTTGAAGATTAAATCATGGAAACCCCCCCCTATATACTAGGCAAAAGTATTTAATGAACATTGTTTTCTACGTATGTGTATATACACATACGTATATATATATAAAATATATATACACATATGTATGTTTTTTAATTCTTTCTGCCAAATCTGGTTGTGCCCAGCACCTACTTCTGGCTCTATGTTTAGGGATTACTCTTGGCAGTACTCAGGGACCATATGTGATGCTGCATCCATGGCAGGCACCCTACCCACTGTGTTAAGTCTTTGACTCCATGGAACTTTTAGACTAGGAACAAAAGGACAGTCTATATGTCACTATCTGGAGCTTTTCAGGTAGAGAAAATATGTACAAACAGTAATAGTTTTGAGGAACAGGAAAAAATTAGTGGAGATGAAGGGGCAGAATCTAAGAAGAATACATTCAAATCAGCCCCATTCCCTTTTTTTGTTTTGGGGACACACCAGTCTGTACTGGAGGTAGGTGGGACTGTGAAGCAAGGAGTTGGGGACCATGTGGTGCTCAGAATAGAACTCTGGGCTGCAAAGACCTTTGAGTTCTATCTCCATCACCCACAGATCAACTTTTTAGGATCTTAATGAAAATTGAGGCTGGAGAGATAGTACACTTGCACATAATGACCTGGGTTCGATCCCCAGCAACCCATATGTTCCGCCAAGTATTGCCAGGAGTGGTTTCTGAGTGCAGAGCCAAGAGTAACCCCTGAACATTGCCAGGTATGGCCCTCAAACCAAAAAAACAAAACAAAAAAATTTTTCTTGGTGAAAAATGATAGGCATTTTTTCCATTCTGGAAATGATGCTCATGTTCCCCCCTGCCTCCCTCCCCCCCCTGCCTCCCTCCCCACCTTCCATTTCTAAGTAAATTTCTCTAAATAAAAACTATTTTATTTCTGGGGCCATGGTCATAGTTCACGGGTAGGGTTCTAGTCTTTTCATGCTCCCAATCTGAGTTCAATCCCTGGTACTACATATGGTCCCCCCAGTCCTACCCTCAGGAGTGCTCCCTGAGCACAGAGCCAGGTTGAAGTCCCGAGGACCACTGGTGTGACCCCCAAAACAAAAGAAATCCAAAACTATTTTAAACAAAATAATGCACACACACAAAAAAATCAAGCTTACATATACCCATTTTGTTAAAAAAATGTGCGATTACTGCATACTTTTTGTTGTTTTTGGACCAAACCCATTAATGCTTGGGAGTTATTCCTGGCTCTGTTCTCCGGTTTCATTCCTGCAGGTATTCAAGAAACCAGATGGGGTTCTGGGGATCAAACTCCTGTTGAGCCCAAGGGAGAAAAAGAGTTTTTCCTATTGTACTGTCTCTCTGGCCTGGAAACATTTTATTACTATGTTATATATGGTAGTTGGGGTTTTATTTTGGGGGGGGGGTAAAAGGAGCATCAAACATTTTATTATAAAATTTTAGTAGCTTTTAATTGTTTTAACTTTGTTCTAAATTAATTACTGTATCTTAAGATTTTTCCATATTATTCTTAATCTCCTTAATGATGATTATAAACTTGTATTTTGGGTTTTTCAGATTGTGAATCGGCACGGTCCTGAGGCAGACAGGCATTTATTACGCTGCCTATTTTCACATGTGGATTTTAGTGGCGATGGTAAAAGCAGTGGCAAAGATTTTCATCAGGTACTTGGGGGCATACAGAGGGTTTTTTGTTTTGTTATTTTAAGGATAGAACCCCTGGACCTCATAATTCTGCCATGGGGGGCGTCGGTGTGTGTGTGTGTGTGTGTGTGTGTGTGTGTGTGTTTCATTTACGCATACACACCTGTCTGTATAAGTTTGTATATGACCCCTTACAGAATTTTACTTATATTTATCTAGTTCAGGTTTGAGAGCTGGGCAACAGATCTGTCTGGAGAATTCTTGAATGTACACAATAAATTGCATTTTGGGTCTAGAGCTATAGCAAATAATATACAGAATTTAGTTTAGGTGAGTGACTAAAGGTGTTGAAAATTGTTTTCTGTTTTGAGTCCTCCCTTCCATTTGGCTACACACCCAGTATATCTATTTAGTTCAGGTTTGAGCATCAGATCTGGAGAATGCTTGAATGTAAGAAAAGAATCCTGCTTAATAAGTAATGCAGAGAGATGATATCT